ATAACAGGCAATGTTAGGTCAAAGCCTAGTCCCTCCCCCACATTCAGCTAATCCCATCATCTGACAACCTGCTGTCACCAGCACTTGGCACTTCCAAACTTTCTTGAATATATACATGAGTTGGGAAACACCCTGGCCTAAGAGAATCTGGATTCCATCCTGTCCTTCGCTGTGGGACCTGAAGCAAAGGGCACACCCAGCAATCTTCCAGGAGTGCCAGTTCAACACACCACTGTCTCCGGGGACAGCAGCCCATTTCACAGGCGGCTCTGGAGCGGAATAGGGTTGTGCCTTCTTGCGTCCCGCGGCTGATGGCATGTTGCGGTCAGCTCTCCCTAGGCTCATCTCTGTCCTTCAGCCCAGTAGGGTCGGGGAATCTTGAAGCGAGTGGGTGCTAGAGATTCCACTGGCACGCGAAGGGGAAAGTGGGCATTGGCTGACCCCGGCCACCGCCTCACCCTTCAGATCCATGAGGATGAGTCTCGGCGTGTACGTCTCCAGGCCGTGCAGCGTTCGGCCGGTCCGGTACAGGACGTCGGGGCACAGCTCCCCCGGTGTCTCCTTGGCATCGGTCGCTTCGCGCAGCGCAGCATCCTGGGGAGGCACCGAGAAAGGACTGGACTCGGGTGGCGAGAAACGCAGGACGGAAGTAAGGGCTGGAGGTCCCACAGGCTCCGCTGGGACAGCCGCCCGGATATCTCACCTGCTGATTCCACCAGTGCGCTCCCACGAAACCCGCAAAATGTCCCAACTGCAACGTGAGGACCTCCCGAGCCCCGCCCGCCATGCCGCGCGGCTCCACTGGGACGCGCAGCCGCCACCGGCCCACTCGCCGCTCCCAGCCGATTGGCTCGGTGCCTTGTGGGCGGGACCTCGTCCTCTACACCCTATTGGTCCATAAACACATCTTTTCCTAGAGGATAAAGGATTCGTCGGCTTTTAGAGACACCTCCCATCACTCCCGCCTCTTCCTGGCGTGGACCAATCCTGCTTATTCGTGGTTGTCAAGGGGCGGGGCCCACGCCGGAAGTTGTCGCCCGAGCCTACGCGCCAAGCTGGAACTTGTTTAGTGCTGCTTTTGCATCTCTACTGGGGTTCCTGGTGAGGCTCACCGTACTTCTTATTGCTCTGGAAGCGTTCGTCTCGTCGCTGACAGGATACTTCAGGCAAAAGTAAAACCTTGCTGGAAAAGTTGACGCTCCTCTAAAGCCTCCCACACGCCCCCTCCTTCCGCCCCAAAAGTCACAGCCGTCCTGATTTCTAATCCTGTGGACTGGCTTAACTNCCCAGCGTCCGGTTCAAGGAGGATGAGGAGCAGAGGGCCCCAAGGACGGGGACACTTGCCACTGCTGTGGATGGAGAGGGCAGGGAGACCTGTCACTGGGGGCGTTCTCCCCTGGGACTCTGCATATAGAGAGGGACTCAGCACATGTGGGCTGTCCCTTCAGTAGACCAGTACTCGAGAGGAAGAACATGTCTCAGGAACCAGCGTGAATAAAGGACTGTTTGTGAACTTTCTAGTACCTTTTCCCAGAAAGGGACAGAGTAAAACCGCTCCCATCCTTGAAGTTGTGGTTTTCTTCCTGTCCTACATACCTGCCCCGGTTGCGGGACCGTCCAGGACCAAGCCCTGCTGGCTGAGGCTTGAGGAGAAGAGGTGGGGGTAAGGAGGGGCCACCTTGCAGGGCGTCAGCAGCAGATGGCACGAACTGTGGGGCAAGAGGCAGGGCAGCAGTGAGAGGAGGCCGGGGGCCTGAGAGGGTCTGAGGCCTGGGAGGAGTGCGCAGCAGGCGTTACACTGACCTCCTGACTCGAGGCTGCTGCTGCTCTAGGTACCGGGCCAGGACTTCTTCTCCAGTGGTGCACGTGTGGAGCTCGGAGGGCACGGGTGTCCCTGGGGGGAGCCGACTGCCAGGACAAAGCCAAAGCACCTTAGTCTGGGGCAGTGTGATGGGAAACAAAGTCTTCCATTCTCAGGCCCCTAGCTGAATCGGGCTGCTTAGTTTTTCTCTTTTTTAAAAGGGGGGCAGGTGGGAGAAGAGAGGGGCCAGTGCCATTAGGCTGGCCGGGAGTCCCAGGGAGGAAAGGATGCAAAAAGAAGTGTGTGCCGGGCCCCTGAGGCCCGGCACTGCTCACCTGGTGTGGCATGTCCTGTCGACACCCCTCAGCACCACTGACTGGGCAAAGCAGCGTGTTCCAGAAGGGTCCCCACAAGCAGACAGTGGGGTCCACGGGGCGGCCCCTCCAAGCTGCACCAGGGTGTCGGGAAGGGACTGGTTTGGAACCAGGGGGAAGGGGATGGTTGCTCCTGCTGTCACCACCTGAAGGTGAGGATGAGATGAAGTCCCAGAGCTTTGGCTCAGCTCAACCCAACCCCTCCTGAAGCTTCCTACCTTTTTCCCTGAGAAGTTCAGCATGTCAGCCAGATGTACCATGGAAACCGGCGAGGACTGCAGGCGATAAGGAACGGTGACTGTGTCCAGGGCTGTAGCCAGGATGGCACTACAGTGGAAGGGCAGAGTGGCCTGTAAAGAGGACACCAAGAAGAGCGCTTGCCTTTCGAGTGCAGAAACGAGTGCAGGCAGGATGGTAACGGCAGAGAGGTCCGGGGCTTTGGGACAAAGCAGGGGTGTGTACAGAGGCCCAAGGTGACAAGCATAGGGCCCAGAACTAAGAGGCCTCATCATGGCTAAGTTCAAGCTGAGGCTTCAGGAGAGCCAGTGACAGGATGACTCGGTGAGTGTGAGGGTCCCCATCACGAGCAGTCACCAGAGCATTGAGCCTTACGTCATAACGCAGGTGCGGGAAGTGGACGGGGGGCTCAGGTCGCAGCCCCAGGCTCCCGCCCAAGGATAAGGGGCAGACCAGGGAGCTGTGAGCAGACAGATGCACCAGACCGAAGGCTGTGTT